CCCCCCCCCCCCCCCCTTGTGGCTATAACAGCTTCTACTGTTCTAGGAAGGCTTTCCAAAAGATGTTGGAATGTGACTGGAAATTCAGCATATGTGAGGTCAGATATTAATGTTTGATGAGAAGACCTGGCTTGCATTTGGAGTCCCAATTAATTCCAAAGGTTCAGTAGGGTTGAGGTCAGGGCTCTGTGAAGGCCACTCCAGTTCCTCCACACCAAACTCATCAAACCATGTCTTTATGGAGCTGGCTTTGTTCACAGGAGGCACAGTTATGCTGGAACAGAAATGGGCCTTCACCAAACTGTTGTGCACAATTCTGTGAAATATATGTTGTAGCATTAACAGTGGCCTTCACTGGACGCACCTGAACTCAATCATGTGGAGGGGGTCCACATACCTTTGCTCATAGATAAATGTAAATCCCCCAAGATCCTCTGGCACAAGAAAATGTGACTAACGCCTTATGACCAAGCAGTTAAAGAATGCAAAACTACCATAATTACGGCAAACGGAGTCATTTCTTTGACATATTGATGTAATAAAGTCAAGCCGTATTTATTTTTCAGTACAGGTCCAATTTATTTTCCGAAGCCTTTTATCTACAAGTAATCACATAAGAGGGAAATATAAAGATAATGATGACAAAAGAAGCAGTTTGCATGCACAATTTTCAAGCCTTGGTCTTACCATGTGTATGTGTTTTGGAACAGAACTGGCTACCTATGGATAAATGCCGGCTTTTTATTTTCTGCATACCTTATTTTTCATTTCTTCCCCGGTCTTCTGACAATGCCCATTTTAAAGGGCAGGTTACTAGATCTCTCTTTACTTTCTGGAACCCTGGCACATGTGACTAGATATGTGACCGGTGGCGTCTCAAGGGGGGTGCGGCCCGCACCTGGGTGACACCATTGCAGGGATGACACCAAAATGACTGACAGTCATTCACCAAGATGGCCACCGGCAGGCGTCAATCAGATTGCCGCGCATGCGCGATGACGTCATCGAGCACGCACAAGGTGACATCACGCGTGATGACGACACAGCGGGGTGTCACCCGGTCTCCACCGGCCTCGGGACGCCCCTGCATGTAACCATGCACATAATCTCAGGGGAGGAAAGTGCCTTTCCCTGAGATCTCATTAGATTACAGATGAGATTTCCCAGCAATGCTCTGCTGATGTAACCTTCCCAGAATGCAACGCTTTGGCACAATTATATAATTTGTGCTAAAGTGGACCAGGAAGTGGGAAAAAAGAAATTGTATGTAAAATAAAAATATGTTTGATTAGCTAGTGAATGTAAAATGATTTCATATCAGCATGCAGAGCTGCAGGCTGATGTGATTTTAAGTCAAAGGGGGTGAAGGTCGACTTTAACTTTTAAAAACTGAGATCCTCCACCTACATTTTTAGAATATACTGTATGTGTTGTATAATAACATGCCATAAATACTTTGCCCTCAAAGCAGTGCTGTTCTTTGCTAGTGCATAGGCTTTGCTATGGATCTCTGTTTCCTATTGCATTCCGCAGCTTTCCTTATGCTATTCTCTTTCACTATATTTATTTCAGGCATATCTGAAATGGGTGGAGAGACAAGGTAAAGAGCCAAAGTTACCAGGACTGGATTTAACACACAAGCAGCTTTTCTTCTTGAATTTTGCACAGGTAATGTAATAAAAAAAATTCATAATTATTATGCCACAGGTAAGATATAGGAATGTGGAAGGTTCATGTGTGACTTGATGGCCCCTAGTGGTCTTCTCTGTCTTCAAAGCATCTTGATTCACATTTCCAATTTTTCATCTACGTTGCTGGCCACTTTAAGACAAAGTTAAATAGCTGGTCAGGTTAAAAAGATACTTGCCCATCAAGTTCAATCACAATGCAAAAAAAATACTTGAAAATCCTTGAGTCCTCAGATACGTAAACCTGCAGCTGATCCAGAGGAAGGAAAAAATACCCTTATGAAGTGTGGTCCGAATTGCTCTAAGTCTGGAAAACTAATGTCAACATTATATAGTGTTATTTCTTAAAGATATTGATAGCCGTTTATATTTTGGGTGCATTTGGAAACACATGAAGACTCCAGTTCTACAACAAATTTCTGGTGCGCTGATGCCCAAACATGAGCGACATATTTAAGATGAGTTCTTCCTAATGCTTTGTAAAGACTTTGGTTGACCAAGCATTTCTTTAAAAGAGAACTATGGGGTCAGGGTTTTTCCCCATAGTTCTCTTAAGGGTCAAAGGAGGACATATACTAGCATCCTCCCGTGACCAAAAGCTCAGTATATCGCTCAGTATCGGGATACTGAGACCATCACAGCTGGGACAGATCCCGACATTACTGTTGAGATCCACCCAGCTGCGTGAGTGACAGCAGGCTCTGCCTATCTAGAGGCAGAGGCAGCTGTACCCATAAGGCACCAGGCCATTTTAACAGCCCTTTTTAATGGTGGCTCCAACAGAAATGCTACTTGGCCTCTTGGCTTAAACAGCTCAGTCTGAGCTATAGGGGTTGATTTACTAACCTAAACACACACACACACCAGGTGTGTGATTTTCACACAGCAAAACGTATTTATCAACCAAAAAGTCTCTAAAAGCATATTTCCACTAATGCCATATATGGAAAAATCATGCACATGATGCATATATAATGCTGCTTCACAGTTTAGACAAAAATGGTTAGCTCATGCATTTACATTCCTGCATTCATCAACGCAAGCAACATAACATAGAGCTAATTTACACCACATTACCTTGCAATTCATTGCAGGGCTTTGAACAACACACCTGCTGGGTGTGTACACACTACAAAGGTGTTTCGATTCCTCCCATAGATCATGCTGGGAGGGAACACACTACAGAGGTGTATACACGTTCGTGGTGTGTTTAAAAGGTTAGTAAATCAACCCAAAAGTCTAAATATAAAGAAAGAGTCCACCAAAGCTACATTTTTCATCAGCCTCTTATCTCAATGACTCCATGGAGACTTATCCCTGGTCAGGTTCCCAGAAACTCTTAAAATATCAAGAGTCAGAGCCCTGATTATAAAAGCCTCTGGTAGACAAAGCCAGTAATAGTCGTAGAGGTTTGTGTACAATCTGATCTTCTAACATGTAGCCCAAATTCAAATATTTTGTGTTTGTGCAGATCTTCAAAATGCAGAGCCCACCCATAATTTATATCTTGGTTTATTATGGTATGGGTTAAACTGTACACCAGTCTCTTACAGTATATCTCTTGTAGACCAAGTAACTAAATATCCCTGGAGAAGCCTCTGTTTCCCCCTGCAATGACAAAGATGTCACACCCCTTTTAATTGAAACCCCAACTTATATGTCTTTCACACAGGGCCCATCATCTAGGGAGGGTGACACCCTTACTTGGTCTTGTAATAGCTCTGGCATGTGGGGGTGCTAGGAATTCTGGTAGAGACAACTCATCACTTGTGGCCCCAAGAGATATAAGAAATCAGCCATTCACAAAAGATCTAGCAGAGTTAGCTGTAATTGGCCTTCGCTGGTAAATACTTCAATTTCCTGTTCTGTAGAAGAGTTAAATAGAACAATAAACATGTATCTTTAACAGAAAGTTGATCACCCCCGTTGGGTTTTATACACCGCAGATTTTTTTCAAGCGGTTAATCAGCTGACAGCCTAGAGTGGGTGATGATGAGCGTTGAACCTTGTACAATTTATATTTAAAAAAAAACAAAGATAAAAAAACTCTCAACTAGAAACTTGGAACATCCCGGACTGTCAAAGACTACAAACAATTCATTATTGCCAACGATTTACGGAATAAAGCAACACCAAGATTTAATCATTGTAGACATTTTTGTTCTAAGGATGAAGGAAAGATCAAGAACTTAAAGCATCAAGCTTAATATTGACTTTTTTGCATTATTACTTTCAGATTATTGTTTTGCACTAGTCAAATGAAGTGTAGAATAGAAAAATGTCACCAGCACACCATAAGTTGAAAAAGCAAAATATTTTATTGCCAATAGCTGTATCTCATTGGCAAGCGCTAAGGGACTCGCAGGGTCCCCTTCATCAGGCTTAGAGATAACCCTGCGAGGCCCCGAAAGCGCTTGCCAATGAGATACAGCTATTGGCAATAAAATATTTTGCTTTTTCAACTTATGGTGTGCTGGTGACATTTTTCTATTGTTCATGTGTGGCGGTGCCATCCGCAGCCATTTCGAGCACCCATCTTCATCAAGTGGGAATCCCGGTAAGGAGTGCGGTATGGTTCCTGTTTCTGTTTAGTCAAATTAAGTGGTGATAATGTCTTGCATTTGTCTTATGCAATATCTTACATTATTCTATGGTACTGCAAACAAAGTCCAGGTACTTTCTAAGTACAGAACACTTTTCAGGCAACAACACCCATCCATGAGCTTATTCATGGCCACAATTGTCAATTATTGTTTTGATATCTAGTTTATCAGTGTATCATTATTCTGGAACTCAAAGAGGGGAATTTATCAAAACTGGAGCAGACAAAATCTGGAGCAGCTTTGCATGGCAACCAATCAGCTTTTCTCTTTCATTTTCAAATCTTAACTGAACAAACTGAAGAGAGAAGCTGAATTGGTTGCCCCGGGCAACTGCTTTAGATTCTGTCTGCTCCAGTTTTGATAAATTCCCCTCAAAGTGTCAATGTGTTATGACACTGGGATCCTATTTTTTTGAATAAAAAAAGCATACTGATATTGCATGTTCCAATTCAATGGTATCAAAATACAATAACATACTGTCAACGGGTATCCAAATAAAATGACGGTGCAATAGCCCTGAGAATCTCAATACAATGGCAAACCAATATCGGTGATCCCAATACAATGGCATACCAATATCGGTGATCCCAATACAATGGCATACCAATATCGATGATCCCAATACAATGGCATACCAATATCGGTGATCCCAATACAATGGCATACCAATATCGATGATCCCAATACAATGGCATGCTAACACATGGGATCCTAATAAAATGAAACACTGACACCGGGGATTCCAAAACAATGAGATCTTCAATATGCTGGCATACCACCTCTGGGCATCCTTATACATTAGCATGTCTCCTCTGGCATATTTACAATGGGATTCCCAATACAATAGCATAGTGACTGTATGCTGTAGAAATACAATGATAGTTATGAATATTCTACACAGGTTTGGTGTGGATCTTACCGCCCGGAGTACGCCCGACACTCCATAAAGACAGATGTGCACAGTCCATTCAAATACAGGTAAGAAAAACATTGTAAAATATATATTTTTTATTTCAACACCTTCAGCTGTGCTTTGCAAAGTACAATAATGAGTACTGAGATACAATTACCCGTAGAGTCACCGAATATGTAAGTTCACCCCATCTCCTACTAGCCATGGTACTTGAGGTCTGTTCCCTCTTCCACATATCAGGAAGGATTTGGCCCAGCTTACACATATGTTCAGTTTACTCATTTATATTGAGATTGTAGTCCATCCCGGGAGCGAGCTTGGAGTAGTGGCTACTTTACAACACACACAGGGACCATGGGGAACAAAAGTAGCCACCCTCCAGAAGGAAGGACAGTGTCAGCACCAATTCAGAGATGATTGGCGGATCTACAGCCGAGTGATACACAAATAAGATACATTGTTGTTCATAGTTAAAGTACTTGAATGTATTATTAAGATTTAACTCCTGAGTTTAGTGTCACCTTAACTTTATCTTCCCCATTGACACAAATGTGTTTTGCCAGAAATGTCAAAAGTTGCATAGAGAAAAAATCTATAGCTATTATTTGACCCCAACAGCAAGTCCAGGATAGGTGAAAGGAGGCCCTGTAATGCTCAGGATCCATCTAAAGCCTCCTGAAACTACCAAGACTTACCTTGATTTTACCTTCCTCAGTGACACCAATTCATTTTTGCAAAATGTTGCTCTATTTCCCAATTTTTACCAAAATTTCAGGGAAATTAAAACTGTTACTTTTTCTCCTCCCTATTCCTCAGTCAATCATTTTAATAATAAGCATTATCTGTGTGCTGTAAAAGTAAATCTTCCCTAACCGGACTTGCAGATTCAGACTTAGAACTCAACGTTGTCATCACATGTACAATTTTTTTTATTTTCAGAGTGATGGGATCCTTACAGAACTTTGAAGCTTTCTCCGAAGAATTCAACTGCAAAAAAGGCACAAAAATGCACCCGGTGGAGAGGTGTCGGGTTTGGTAGACGAAGTACATCCTATGATCCTCGGAAACCAGTCTGACAATGTCTGGCTTACAAATATTGAACAGTTATAGCCAATAAGGTGCCTGGCTTTTTCCAGTGCTCAGGTCAGAGCCATGGTGTGGGGTAGGAAATATGACAAGGTGGAGTGACTACCGTATTGTTTGACGGTTCCAATGACCAAGCGGAATCAAGTGTTACCATTGCTAACAGCTCAGTATGCTCTAGTGGGTAACGATGTGTTAAAAGAAGACTGTTTTAATGGCTTGACTGTTATCATTAAAAGATTTAAAGTGTAAGTCTGGGCAAATGTTTTTTTTTAAATATGCATTACATTTCTGCAATACATGCGCAGTCCACCATGATTCGTCCCCCTGAAAGTGTAGCAAATTTAGACAATTACGTGTTGATGTGCCAGAAACCCAGTGAGCTTCTAGCTTTCTGGATTGGGCTGACAACGCTGCCTCTGCTGTTCTGAAATTCCATGCAGTGTTGCCAGCACTACCTGCTGGGCTACCAAACACCCTCCTTATGTTATGGAGATTAGCAGAATGGATGGGGCGGGTGTCTGTAGTCCAGCAGAGGAGAATAGGGCAGGACTAACAACACTGTCAGCAGCAGAGACACTGGGTGGTCAGCCCACTAGGAGCTCTTGGGATCTCTGACTGATCAACAGGTATCCTTCCTGCACTTGCAGCATTTTTAAAGACGAAACATGGGGGGAATGCGCATTTATTGCAGAGTATGCTTTTTGTTTGTTTTTTGCTAAGATGTACACTTTAAAAAAACATATAAAATATACTGCTGTCAGGTTTTCAAATAATAGTTTTAAAAAGATGTATTTTTTTCCTCGAGTTGACTCCGCTTTTGATATTATGTTGTATGTTTGTGTTGCTCTCACCCGTCTGGTATGATTTCTTATTGTGTTTAAAGAACAGTATGTTTTTTTTTTTTAAATAGATTTTTTTTTTCAGGGAAATATAAAAGGGGAGATATGACTTCTTAAAAAAAATGATCTTTACTTCAGCACTTCTTTTGATGAGAATAAGAATGTCCCAATTGATGAAATAGGTATCATATCATTTTATGCAGGGGTGTAGAATTTGTATATTGAATTTAGTTGCTCTCACCACTAGGGGCCTGTATATGGCATTAAGAACTGTCTTTAAAAAAATATATATATATTTTTTATAGACGGCTCTGGCTGGATTAAATTCAAATATAGGCAGAAAGATATAAAAAAATAATATCCATATGCTATTTTTGTAAAAATTAAAATCATTAAAAAAATTATTTTTAATTTAGGTACTGTGATATTTTTCTTGTAGGTTGACATTCTATCATAAATCCGAGAGTAATTTTTGCTTATTTTTTTTTTTTACTTCGCTGTACTCGTGTGCAAACTACATTCGTAAGAAATAATATAAAAATATCATCACACATGTTTTAGATATCTGAGCTATGATTTTTTTTATCTTAAAAATTCTGCTCTTCAGAATATGAACATGGGTATATGTACATAAACATTTTTACTGACCGGTACTCCTCCAAACTGCTGCTTTAGGCTTTGTTTGTATAGAAGTAGTTCAAATTTTAATGAATGACTCTGAATTGGACAGACATCCTGAAACATTTAAAGGAGAATTCCATAAAATGTAAAAAGAAAAAAAAAAAAAACTAATATTTTACCCCTTACATAGAATTATGGATGTTTTATGCAACAGAATGTTATGGTTCCGGAATGTACTCCCACCAAATGATATAACTAATTGTTCTCCAAACCTGGAAAGGGTGTGAAGGTAAAACCTATACTCAGTCGAAGGGTTTCAGATCTCCCGAATGTTGACAGCTTCTATTTGCAACATTTGTTTAAGGCCCATTTGAACTTTCACTTTAAATCAGCGAAATACTTTTCAGGTGTTTCAAAGCAAATTAAAGTTAAAAAAAAAAAATCTGTGCCCCGCCAGCATGCTGCAGAGAAGGATCCTTGTTCTCTATGTGAAAGCAGTGATCTCTCTACAGAGATCCGACCTATACCAACGAAGCCCTTTGGAGAGCTACAGCTCTGACTCAGAAGAGGGTGTGTCACATCTGTGCAGAGAGACCACTGCTTTCACACAGGTAGCTGGGGGCCCTTCTCAATAGCATGCAGGCGTTTCCACACAGGCGGGAACTCTTTGTTAATGCCATGGACAAACTGTATCTTATATGTCATTTTTCGATTTTGGCCATATTTTCACTTTAAGGCATTCCCATACATCTGGAAGACAAGATCAGTGTGGGCCGAGTCTCGCTTAGGTCTTCCACCATGGTGTCACTGTCTTTAGAAAATCTAATAGAAGTTTCCAAAAGCATATGGCCCCTTTTCCAGGTCAGCTGGGAAAATATAATTCCTCTATTATCTTGTATGGATCATTTTCCAGGGGTTATCACCCATTTGGCCTTGCCTGGAACCACACAAGTCAGCAAGGTGGAAGATTTCAAAAAAGCTCCAAATGGCCCTTTTTTAATTTAATTTAAAGGAGCCTAAAGGAGAACTATTTACGACACCTCGAGACCATCAGCCAAAACAAATGATAAAGTCCTCTATCTTTAATATATAATCAGTATGTGAAATGAATTATTGTGTATGACCAATATAAGGGGTATTGCAAACACTACCGCTTACCCACAGCGTGCAATCAAAAATCTGAATATTTTTTATACCAAAATAAATATATAAATTCAGGACATTTTAACACATCGACTAGTTGCTGGAATGTGATTTGTTTTAGAAAATAAAATCTATATATACAAAAAGCTATCTAATTTTGTTTCAAAATCTCTATATAGATATGACTATATACAATCTTGTGTATACGTGTTGTCTCAGGCTATCTGTAGAATAAATATGAAAAAAAAAGTTTATCAAATTGTAATGTATGTTATTTTTCCAAATAATTATAATGTTATGTTTTGATGGCATACCGTGTCCTTATTGCGTGTCAATTATTACTTTTGATTAAAATGATATGATTATGGTGTACGTTGTCTGCGTTTATTTTACCGGTTTGCCATGTACACTTGCTCATAGACAGGTGCGATTCGTTTCGGAAAAATACATTTTTCGGACGAATTTACGTTATTGAATGATGAATGAAAACAAATCCGAATTTCCGAAAACGAAATTTCGTACGAAAGCGTTAGTCTGTACAAATTTTCGTTTGTAGACAGATTTTCGTTGCAGCAAAGTGACATTTTAACAAAAAACTTTTTTAATGTGACTTTGCTTAAACGAACGGAAAGAAAACGAATATTCTTTCAGACTACCGCTGACTAATTTCATCCGAATCCCGAAACGAATTGACTTTCAGACCCGAATCCCGAAATAACACAAAATCCAAATCGAAACGAAACTAAATGCATTTTTTTTTTCTAAGCACATGTCTACTTGCTCATCATGACAGAGTGAACACAAAAAATCTTCATGATCAACTCTACCCAGAACTTATTATTCGTATTTTGTGGCTGCTGGCAAGCTGGTTCTGCCAGTGACAAGACATTCCCCCATTCTGCCCTGTTGGTTCAGTCCAAAGGAAGACAGAAAACGATTTAGAATAAAGAGGTAACTGGTGAATTCCACTACACAGGAGAAGGGATTTTGTTAAAAGAACCCAACCAAGAGTCCATCCAAACCCGAAATATTAGTTGTAGATGAATAAGGCCATTACCATGAATGGGTCGTCCCAAATGAATACCCATCACGTTATGTATTTAGCTAAAAGGCTACAAAGTACACCGAGTTGAACCATGCCTATACTATTCCTTAGTGGTCTCTAATATCTGCCTGGGGTTTAGCTTTGAAGGGTAATTTGATAGAAGTAGTATTATTGTATATAAGTATATTAAAATAATAAGTGTTTATTAAACATTTCAAAATTAAACATTCCAGAAGAGGCGGGGCCCAGGGACGGAACAGGAGTCGTGGCCCGGCGAAATTCTAGTGATTTCTAGTTACGCCCCTGCATGTATCCCAGAACATGTAGACTACTCGTCAACCATCAGTCCCCCCCCACCTCCCCCCCACACACACACACTCATATTAAAATGTAATAAGCACATATATATTTTCAACCTAAAGACAGTGAGCAGGAGCTTGGGCATATTGGCACCACATGGAAGGCCACAAAACCAGTAAGAGAGGGAAGAAGAGAGGTAAGGAGGTATATAAATATATTTAAAGGTGGCTTTCTGTATCAGTCCCAACGGTTGATTTTTAGGCCACTGCTACTGATGGAATCATCGGCTCTTTCCCTAGTGTCTAAGATGAAGACAGGGAGATGTACTCTGTGCTTTTCCTTGCTTAGCATCATCTCCTGTTATTCGGTGAAGCAATCCAGCACCCGTGAGTACAATATATTCGAGAATTTACACACTGTTTGGTCGAACTTTCCTCCATGTGTGATCATTACTCAGGGTGATATCACTATTCATGACTCACCGGGTCATTATTTAAGTCTCTGAGCCTCTAAGATTTATCTTCAATCAAGCTATCCACTCCAAGTATCGCCTGCTCTAAATCAAGAGCAAAGGTTACAAATGTCTACATTACCAGCCTGAGAGATCACAATCCTTTCAGATCTACTGAAAAGATTCAAATGCAATAGAATAAGGACCCTAGGTATAAGAAACAAAATCCTCTGAATCATATTCAGTTTACAACTACAGTCAAAGCGCTGCTTCCTCAAACACTTTGAGGACCATCCGGCATTATACATTATGCTAATTAGCTCCTCCTAAGAGTGCATGTTTGTGTTTTACGAGTGAATGGGTTGTTGCAATAATCATTTTTTAGATGCACAATCGGTGTTGGTTTAAGTGGTGCATTTAGTCTGTCCAAATAATTTTTATAATCAATAAATTTATAAATTTTGTACTATATTTTGACACTCCGACCCTCTTTACTAGCTGCACTTTGAGTTGGCCCCTATCGGTTTATCTCACTTCTCTGTTTTGTGTTTATGGCATACACCCAAGTGTTAATATGG